AGAGAGAGAGAGAGAGAGAGAGAGAGTCACAATCTGATTTCTACAGTGTATTTATATGTACCTATAAAACAGCACAATGTCCGACTGTCAACAAAAATCAAAATGTAAAAAGCCGTTGTGCTCCCCTCCATCCTCTACGGTTCGGAGACCTGGACACTCTACAGGATGCACATCAACAAATTAGAGCAGTTCCATCAAAGGGCTCTCCGCAGCATACCCGGCTCCGGTGGCAAGACCGCATCACCAACATTGAGGTCCTCAACCGATCAAGCTCACAAAGCATAGAAAGCATGCTCGTCAAAGCCCAACTGAGATGGGTCGGCCATGTCACCCGCATGGAAGACCACCGTAATCCCCAAACAGCTGCTGTACGGCGAACTCGCAAGTGGCAAAAGAAATCTCGGGAGGCCAAAAAAGCAGTTCAAAGACATGATAAAGGAAAACCTGGCGCAGGGCCGTCCGTATTGCCAGCAGAAACAGCCATACAAACTACAGGGAGAAGCTGACTATCAGAAGAGAGAGGAGACATAAGCCAACCGCCACAACCACGACATTCCAGTGTCCCCACTGCAACAGACATTGTTCATCCAGGATCAGATTGCACAGCCACATGCGCGTCCACATATGAGCTGCAGGATTCATCGTCATCTTCGGCAACGAAGGACTACCTACACATGCATACCTATCAGTATTGCAATCATTTATTTAGTAAAATGTCAAAGCCCTCTCTCTCTACCACTTATTCATCTTCCTAACAGTTTATCTGTATTCTGTGCAGTTGGCCTTTCCTCCTTACCGTCCATCTATCTGTTTACCAATTATGCCTTCCTTACAGTTAATCTGCCTTCTTCAAAGCTTATAAAACTTCCTTACAGTTTTTCTATCTCCGCCATTATTTTCTTGATCCACAAACCTGGGTTAAAACGGTCCCCACAAGTGTAGACTCCGCCATGATGACAACTGATGTTGGATCCCCAGCGGTCATTCACCACAACAGTGTCTTTCACCGAGCTGGTGGATAGAGAGGAACAATGGTAATAATTACTAATTATATAGAAAGAATGGGAAAAACAAATATTGTTTTTTTTAAATGAAGGTGTTTTATATGCCCTCATTGACACAAATCAGATCATTTAAGAGACTGGCTTCCGATCCTGCCTGTCAGAGTCAACTAGGCTGAGATACTCTACAAAAATGTTCTTCCTGCTCGGGAATCAAATTTCGGTCTATGGCGAGAGACAGCGAGGAGGAGCGTAGCAGCTACACCACAGGTGTCAGTGAATGGTGAAGCTGGAATACATTAATCACAATTGCTAAATTGTAATGTTGGTAAAAGAATGAAACCAGGTCAGAAAGAAAAAAAGGGCATAGGAGAGAGTATGGTCGATGATACAGGCGACCCTGTTTTAACGGCCACTTGTATAGGACAATCACCTGTACAAATGGTCATTTCCCATTTCCTCCCTAGAGTAATTTTTACATTATAATGACACAGAGTAAGACACCCACTTTTCTCCTCAACAGATGATGTCCGTGACAGTTTCAACAGTACATAAATAGGATGTGTTCATTACAGTAACAGACTATATGGATATCAGAACAGAAAATATGTCCTAGTATGACAATAATGAATATTTCAAAGGCACACAGAGATCATCTGCTACAGAAGAGAGCACTTAGGACAAAAACCACACTCTTGGATGTTTTATGCCACTATCAACACAATTTACATCATTGACGAGGTAGTAGGCTGGTTCAACCCCAGCTGTCAATGAAGGAAAGTCATAACAGTCCAAAACACAAAGCAATTTGACACAGAAGTGACACTCTTATAAGCATTGTAAGGTTTTTAAAAGATGAGATCCCAAGATCAAAGCCCACCTCGGACATGATCAAGCCAAGCGCACAAAGAGCCTTGAAAACTCCCCAAAAAACGAAGCACAAGGCACTCCTGATAAGATTTTAAACAAGGGTCATCCATACAGTAGTATAACTCTTTACTGTATAAACTGAGCTATAAAGAGCCCCTTGGGAAGACAATTAGAATACTTGCTGAAGTACATAAGCTGTCTTTATCCACAGCGACGTATACAAAAGTCTGTCAATAAGAAAAAATGTGACACGGCATAGGTTTAACGTCCTTATCAATACTATGAAGTATTCAGGAGGTGGGACCTCCAAATTGAACGCCCATCTACAAAAGGACCAAGCCCAAGGACACAACATTGGACCGAGCTGATGCTCGAACCCCCGAACCCACAATATCACGATTACAGGTCCATTACCCTAACCACTAGGCTACCAACACCACCCTGTCAATAAGTTCATGAGAAATAAAAACACTGTAGTATGAGAGAAGCCCATCCAACCTATTGGTGTAGAGCCAAGCCAGGAACTCCTTAGACTTCCAGTACACATCCGGAGCTTCCCAGTCCCCATCTGACCAGACCACCTCAGGCTTGTAGGTCTCCACAATCTCATACAGCTCGGGCAATGTTTTTTGCTGTAAAAAAAAAAAAAAAATTGAGTTTGAAACATCTACTTTTGCGAAAGAAATGAATATATTTCTTTGCAGACTTTTTACGTAACTGTGAGTGTTTCAGGAACAATATTTTTCCTCAGAAGGATGCTAACAATACTGCTACGACAATCATAACTTCCAATTGCATTTATCAAAGTAAACTTTCATAGGAAACAAATGACTGCACACCATAAGAAAAATAACACAGCATAGTGGAGCTGACTACAAACCCAGACTCCTGGTCTACAAAAAAGGTAAACATCCAATACTCAAACCAAATCTGACATTCTTATAGGGTTTCTGTAGCAGAGTACGCCTTTCTCAGATTCGCCCCACCACTTATCAGCCCCCCCCCCCCTCCCCCAGGGCAGTGCCACTGACTGAAGTGTCTTCAGGCCATTCCCAAAGAGGGGATACTAATATGTTCTTATGCACAGTAGAATTGTAAATGGGCTGATTTATCTTATCAACATCATGCTCATACTGTGCCGGAACAATATAGGGGGAACTGCTGCTTTTTTCTTTCCTCATCCTTACTATCGTCATTTTTCCTCTACTTCTTTGGTATGTTTGTCGCTCTCTTGTGAACTGCTATTTCCAGGGTGCCTTGATAGTCAAAGCAGACTTCGGGCTGTTGAGGCAAGAGAGGTGAGCAGAGTAAACCTGATTTCCCGTTAGGACTTCTCTGTTGACATCCACCCCTTGGCGTTCATATCTTGTCTTATGCAGTTGCCAGCGTCGTAAAACCTTACTAAAAAAATTAAACTTATCAGCACTTCTGTACCATACATAACCCCATAAAACCTGTTCATAGAAAATTCAAAGCTTACAGAACTTTATCAGGAAAGTCATTGATGGCCAGACAATTGCCTGATCTAGTAAAGATGCTAAAAAAAAAAAAAAAAACAATATCCCCAGCAGCAACACCTATTATTGCATATTTGCTACAATTTTTAGAAGTATCTTGTGTGTAAAAAGAAGGAACTTACACTGAACTAAATGTACTTTGAGAAATTTTTTTGTTTTGTTTTGTTTTGGGGAGGAGGGGGGTTAATGTCTTCATCCATGCAGATGGCAACATATACTATTATAAATAGACTGCAAAAGAACAATTTTTAAGGGAGTAAACTATCTTAACATACAATCTTCAAGTCTGACTCTACACGTGCAAAAGAACAATTTTTAAGGGAGTAAACTATCTTAACATACAATCTTCAAGTCTGACTCCACACGCCTTGTGCGATGATAAGAGTGGAACTTACATTAACGAAATCTTGACTTTTAAATCCAGATTTCTTGTCTGCAAGATACAAAGGGTGGAACCACTCAAACATTGAATGATACAGGCCAAATTTCAGGTCAGTTTTGCTTCGTGTAGCATTCATGAGCTCACCTGGAGAAGAAAAAGAAAAACGAAGAAGAAAGTGATCCCTTAGACTTAGACCCTCTTGCAAAATTTGCATTTCCCAGATAGACAGAGAAGGCAAGCATTGGTGTTTTCCACTGTCAGATAAAAAGCATTGAAAAAGCTTTATTCCCACCCCCTCCGAATCCTCTCGGATACTGATATTTTGTACTTTACATTTATAAAAACCTGTGAGGAAACAACCACGGCTTGTGGCTTCACCCACGTGCAGTAAATTAGAAACTGTATGTATTTGTCAGGAAGCAGAATTACATGAATCCAAAGACAAAGGCTGGAAAAAAAAAGTTTCGCAATTCCCGTCAAAGTTTCAGTTATCTGCAGACTGATGGTGACAAAATAATAATAATAATAATAATAATAATAATAATAATAATAATAATACATTAAAAAACATGGTACATTTCTGCATGAATTTCACTGAAAAACGTTGATGACAGACACTAAAACTGTAAAAAACTGCAGTTTCTAAGGACACTCCAGCTTTGGAAATCACCTGATTTTGGCAGCCATTTTCTCCCTAATTTTACCTCTGACATCAGGCAAACCTTTCCTCCATCAATCGCAAATATCTCGACTTTTATTCACAATAAATGATTTTTTTTGTTTTGGTCATCAAAAGTAAGGCAAATGAATAGGCTTCAAGATAATACCAAAAAATCCATTAGCCAAAAAAATTGACGAGCACCTGATTCCATCGCGTCGTAACACATATACACCCATAATCTGACAAATAATACATATGCAAAAGGAAATCAGTGTGGCTTCTGACCAGACTTGCTTTTAGGAAAATAATCAAACTAGTAAGTAAAATGGGATTAAAATAAATGTGTTTTAAGACCAGATTTAAATGCAGTCAAAGTAGGCGGATCTTTGAAATACAGTGGGAGTGAATTCCACAATGGCGGAGCAGCAATCGAAAAAGCCCCCTATTTTTTTGCTTTTGCAAAGCACAATGTTACTTTTTATTAATGAATCATAAATTTTGAGAAGGAATATAGCCTAATAGTAATACTCATGTAGTATATATCATATAGTATATATATATATATTAGAAACATATTATGGTGCCAGATAGTTTAAACACGTATAGCACATGATTACTACATTTGTAAAAAATGCAAGCTTTAACAATAACAGAGAGCCAGTGTCCGTAAAAGCAATGGTCTTGCGTGTTCTCTATATAGGCCTTTTGAACACACATATGCCCAAAACACACACGCAAAAACTAGTACGATAACAGGTGATTAAGTGAGTAATAAATCTCTACCTTTGATACAAAGATTACAGAAAGTTTGAAGGTCTTACCAACAATGTCCCTGTTTGGTCCTAGGGCCATCGAATTCCAGTTGAAGGAATATTTTGACGGCCAGTTCGTGTATCCTTCATGATGCTTGCTTACAAAGACCACGTACCTACCACAAAAAGGCATCATTTTTAATAGAATGCATAGTTTGTCTGAAAACATGATAGAAAATAATTCAGTGTCCTTTTTCTTTTTGTAGTATAGGTCAAAACACATAATCATTACAAAAAGAAAGCTTGGGTGAAAAAAATACTTACAAGCATATATATCCGTAAAGCAATCACCCATATGATAGAGCGAAAAACACACACACAGTGAATAGATTTTCAGGTTCCAAATGTTTTCCTATTGTAGTTTGTATTCTAAGAATAGACAGAGCATAAACAATATGTATATAGTGAAAAGATTGGGCATCAGTAGTGGAATATCTATTTAAACACAAAACTGCAAACTTTGTTTACCGAAGTAGCTATGATGTAAGGATGCAAGAGGGAGAGAGGGGGAGGGAGGGAGAGGGAGGGAGAGAGAGAGAGAGAGAGAGAGAGAGAGAGAGAGAGAGAGAGAGAGAGAGAGAGAGAGAGAGAGAGAGAGAGAGAGAGAGAGAGAGACAGACAGACAGACAGACAGACAGACAGACAGACAGACAGACAGACAGACAGACAGACAGGCACACAGACAGGCACACAGACAGACACACAGACAGACACACAGACAGACACACAGAAAGACAGACAGACAGACACACAGAAAGACAGACAGACAGACAGACAGACAGACAGACAGACAGACAGACAGACAGACAGACAGACAGACAGACAGACAGACAGGTGTTGGCAAGGTATGACTGATGAGTGCAGGCCAATGATCTACAAGCTGAGGGTAACAATGTAGACTAAAGATATTTATAGATGCATTCATTGCATGGTACATCATGTCATAGAAGTGTTCAGCAGTAGATTTAGTCTGCACACTTCAGTAAATCAGTCACATCTGGGGAGTCTATGTTTATCTCCCTTAATATCACTTGAAGTTCATTTAAGTAACATAACAGCAAAATTCGTAGGCCTACTTATAATGATGAACAGATTTCTCATCCTGACAATTTCGCCGTTTATAACGATTGCACAAGACTATACACATAAACCACAATATGGCAAATAGTGTAGTCCATATAAACTGAACATGGTTCATCTCAAAACAGTGTAAAAAGGCTGCATCTATTCGGACTCAAGTCTGAACAGCCCCCCGTTGCTATTCGGACTCAAACTCCAATGCACTTGCATAATCACCGGGTGTAGGTGTAGATGTAGGCTACTGGATGTGAAGCGGACAGGCAATTCGACCTTGGCCTTCCTCGGTTTTTACGATCTGCCCAAAACTTTCTACACAAATTAAGAAAGTATAACTTTGTGACGTCAAAAGTGAACAACAGTTGCAAAATCTGAAGCAGGGGTATCAGCTCAAAGTGTTAGTATAAAATCATAAAAATGTGTCACGACGCAGTGGAATCAGGCGCCTGTTGTTTTTGGGGCATGTGGCGTTAATATCTGAAAGCGTATTCATAATTTGCCTTGTGTTTAGTTAAAAGAATATTCAGTTCTTGAATAAAAGACGAGATATTTGCAATTGAAGATGGGGTCATCTGGTCTCAGAGTAAAAATTAGCGAGAAAATGGCCGCCAAAGTTTGGTAACTTCAATAGCATAAGAATGCTTCAAAACTAAAAATCTACACATTTTGTGCCTTTAATCAACGTTTTTCAGTAAAATTCACATATATATATATATTATATGTGTGTGTAAATTTGTTTTTATATGGACACAAAATTTCGATAAAAATTTCCAAACTGCCTGAAAAATTAATGTAAGTTCGATTTTTTTTTTATTTTAACGTGCGCCTGATTTCACCCGATGCCTCACAAATTGTAATTTTGGGGGGACAATTAAAATGCAAATTAAATTTAAAAACAATATTATTAGAATGACAGCAGAAGAGTCAGTTTGGATAGCCTAATTGTGGCGTCGGTGGCCTAGTGGTTAGGCTCTCGGACTCGCAACCGTAAGGTCGTGGGTTCGAATCCCGTCAGGGACCCGACGTTGTGTCCTTGGGAAAGGCACTTTACACGAATTTTCCTCACTTCACCCAGGTGGGAATGGGTACCCGGCTACAGACAGCGAAAGATCTTGTCAGTATGTTAGTGTTTGAGCGCTTAATCAGCTGCTTGCACTGTATGCTTCCCGGGAAGCTGAGAATGTTTCGGAGCGTTCTATGGTCTGCTGGGGTAATAATATAGTGTAAAGCGCATAGAGCCTGCTGTTGAGCGGGGATTTGCGCTATACAAATGCTATCTATTATTATTTTTTTTTTATCATAAACCAAAGTAAGTCATGCTGAAATCGATGAAAAACAACAATTCCAGCATGCCTTATTGAAGTTTGAGTCCGAATAGCCACGGGAGGCTATTCAGACTCGAATCCGAATAGCCACTTCGGAAAATAAATTTATCGAAGTGACTATTTCTCCGAACCTTCCGGAAAATAAAGTTGCATTTTTTTTTGCATCGAATTCAATTTCTAGAGCTAGAGATTTTTACATGTCTGAATATTCACATACTTCAGTTGTGGTTGGGGCAACGTTCTCAGACTATACTTCATTTGAAAATGGCTGTCGTTATTCTCACCCGGAGTGAAAATAAAAGATAATGTCACCCGGGGTGAGAATAATATCCATTTTGTTCTCACCCGAGGTGAGAATAATAATAATACTATATTGTTATTCTCACCCCGGGTGAGAATAAAATGAATATTATTCTCACCCGGTCTGAGAATGCAATGGATTTTTAGGTCTACCTGGGTGTTGAGAACGGATGATAGAAAATAATTTGTGAATTGTAAGAGAGTGACCGTTTGTGACCTGCCCGAGAGCGCTGGCCGATTTTTCTAGGCTCCCGCGGGGATTGTTTTCATTTTTTTTAAATCTTGAGTTGAGAGTATGCACGCATGTCTTCACCGAAACCCTAGACAAGTGCAAATATATTTTAAATTCAGAAAGGAATTCATTTGCCAAAGTAGTAGGCTTTTAAAAATAATAGCCTTAACTGAAAACTGTTTAATGAAATAATAGTAATAGATTGTCATTTGTAAAGATAGAATTGGCATTTATTTACAACACAAAAAAAACATGTTTAATTGTTATCCCTAGTAGAACCCACGATTATTTTTAAGGAACGCAGTGCCTTGACCCTAGGCTTTTTTTTTTCATAATTTTGATTGGTTAAACCATTCAAGAGTAAAATTTTCCATTATAGAACGAATAAATTAATACTGTAGCACAAAAAGGTGACGCTATTTGGTCAAAAGATAAGGTTTTTCCCCCAAATCGACAATAGTCGCCTCCCGCGCCCGAGAGCTGGCCCGCTCATTCTCGATTTTAGTCGACTCGCGCGCTCAGCGGAGTGAGAGAGGGAGGGAGGCGAGTTTTGTCGCCTGAAGCGCTCAGTGAAAGGGGTCCTATGATGCCCGAAACGAAAAAAGCAGGTGAGAATAGTAGGCTGTCGTTATTCTCACCGAATAGTATGAAATTTTATTCTCACCCCGGGTGAGAATAATCACTGTGTTTGAAAATACCTTCAAAAGTACTGCGAGAAAACAAAACTGCTTTACCTAGGCAGTAACCTATTTTGCATTGAGTCACCCAGCAAAAACTAAAATCCTTCATGATGTAAAAAAAAGGAAGAGGCTAGCCGTACTTAATGACGGCTAGACTGGCAGTCTACCCGTACTTAAGTACGGCTAGACTCGCAGTCTAGCCGTACTTATTCTTAATATGATGGCTAGACTGACCATTTACAAAAAATAGGTCTACTGAATTGTAAATATACATTTTTAGCGTGCAGTACCTAAAGTATTTGCATTTGAGACGAAACCAGGTGCCTTAATGACAGTGCATGTATTTAAAACCTCCTGTTTTCTAATGTTAATAGGCCTAGAGCCTAAGATAAGTACGGCTAGACTGGCAGTCTAGCCGTACTTAAGTACGGCTAGACTTCTTGTCCAGCCGTACTTTAAGTACGGCTAGACTGTCAGGCTAGCCGTACTTTATATTGATGGCTGAATTGTAAATGAAATTTTTAGTTTGCAATGCCTAAAGTATTTGTATTTCAGACAAAACCAAAAGGTGCCTTATGACTTGCATGTATTTGAACCTGAATAATTACTAGATCTAGATCTAATGAGACCTGTGTACTAAACAGGCTTGAGTCGATACGGCCAAAACTAAATCTAAGTACGGCTAGACTGGCAGTCTAGCCGTACTTAAGTACGGCTAGACTCTCAGTCTTGCCGTACTTAAGTACGGCTAGCCACTTCGTTAAAAAAAAACCGCCCTCCACGCCCCATCCCCCCCCCCCCCCCAACCCCCGTTGACACCTTACACACACACACATGCACATGCACACTCACACACACACACACACACACACACAGGCCACTCCATTTGCTTATTATCAACAAATCTCGAGAACGGAAACCGTTCAGAGAAATAGAGTTCAAGTTTATTTTCCCGAACGTTCGGAGAAATAGAGCCGGCCTAAATTTATATTTACAATTCAGTAAGCCTATTTTCCGATGTTCGTCAGTCTAGCCATCATATAGAATCTAAGTAAAACGTATGGCTAGCCCAGCTGTCTAGCCGTCATTAAGTAGGCCTACGGCTAGCCTACCAGTCTAACCGTACTGAAGCACAGTCTAGCCGTCATTCATAAAGTAGCCTCTTCCTTCTTCCTTTTGACAATAACACGCAGAGTCATAGGACAAAGAGAGGCTAACTTACTTTGCACCTGACTTCTGAAACATGTTTGCCCATTCTCCTCCTTCAAAAAACTCAGCTGTGAACTGCTTCCCAAAGTCTGCATATGTAAAGTCGGGAGGATAATTCTGTAACATGAACTCAACAACAGCAGGCGTCGGGAGGCCTTTCCAGTTCCACCAGAACCACTCCGACGAATAACTGGGAACGGAGAAGACTCCCCAGTGAACGAAGATGCCCAACTTTGCATCATCGTACCAACCAGGGAGAGGCCTCGAATCTAGAGACTTCCAATTAGGTTCATAAGCATTTACTACTTGAAGCAGGGAAAGAGATGCAGCTGAAACCAACAAACAAAAGACAACTCCGTTGCCAATACAATTAAACGCCGACATGTTCACTTGTGTAATGTTTGGAAACTAAACTAAAAACGTAGGTACACAATAATAGGCCTATCCAGATTTAGAGTAAATAAGTGTTTAGCAGCTTAGCAGTTGCTTTCATTTCATCGTTTCGTTTTCATCGAGTTGGGTTTCGTTGTTTTGATTTATTTCATCGCATGCCTCAAGTCCCTCTCTGAATCTTTTTTTTTTTTTTTGATACAGTGGTAAAGGAAGATTTATTTTTAAGTTCATAAACGGATTTTTTGCTTCAGGACTAGATCTAGTGCTTGCTTAGACATGTAAATTAGAGCAAACACTTGGTAAAAACGGGGTTCTAATTTATTCTAAAAACAAAAGCAAGGGGTTTAGGCCTAAAATCACCACTGTATGTGTGTGTATGTTTGTGTGTGTGTGTGTGTGTGTGTGTGTGTGTGTGTGTGTGTGTGTGTGTGTGTGTTTGCGAGTGTGGATAGAGAGATATATAGATAGATAGATAGCCTTTTCCATAGACCATAAAAGGAGCTGAGGACCACACAGTGGCGGTGGGAGGTTCTAAATGTGAGTGGGGCTGAAAAATTTGGGTAGGTAAAGTTCAAAGGTAAGATTGCCTTTGTTCAGAGGACATTCCAAATATGTGTAAGTATGTTTCATTCACACACTCACATGCAAACGCACTCATATACTAATATGATCTTATGCAGTTGCGAGCGCCATAAAACACTTAATTACCAAAAAAATTAATTAATTAATTAATAATTATTAAACACGCAAACGCACACATACAACAGTAAATGGATTAGGCCGTGGGGTCGTAAAAAGCAAGGCATTCCTAAAACGTGGGCCTATGAGCGTGTTTTGTTCACTCTGTCTCTGGGGAAAGTGTATCATGAACTTTCCACCCATTGCCTGGGCTGTCAGAGAACAATCCCTCTCTAACAACAGTTTCCGCGGGCTCTCGTTTGTTTCTTTTGCCTTTTTTCAAGTAAAGTTTCATTAAGAAAGGACTGTGGGAATGGGCTCATCTTTTACTGAGCCATAAAAACGTTTGATTAGCTGTTGTTAGGTTATCGTTGCAAGCGATGACTATACAGCACAGAATTCTACACTAAGTGTAGAATTCTGTGCTATACAGTGATTGGATAAACGAGCAAGCGTGTGTGTTCACCGTCTGCAACTAAAGGCGGAGGAGAGATTCTGAAACAATTCTAACGGTTTCAACTGATTATCTCGTTTATTAGAAGAAACATTCATTTACGGAGGAAAAAAGTTAGGGGCTGGGGGTGGGAGTGGGTGGGGCTCAAGCCCTTTAGCCCATCACTACACCCCGCCACTGGGACCACAGATGACTTTAACAAAGAGATGTTGTCTAGGTAGGCCTATTTCAAGTACAAGAATATGTGCATATATCAAAAACCGTGAGACAGGGATGTTTTGCTAGGCTATCGCACTTGCACTTCCTCTTCATCTTGGCTATCGATTGGCTGCTGAAGGAAACCACTAGAAGACACAGAGACGGCATAAAGTGGACTCAAGGCAGGGGCGGCTCGTGGGGTTAAAAAATGGGCGTGCACAATTAATTAAGCTATCACAAGCTAAAGATAGCCAAGGGCATAGTAAATGGGATGGTGTATAATTTTAGGATCTTTGGGTTGGTGAGGGAGGACCTCGTGCTTTTACTTCCATTCCTTTTACTTGTCGCTTTGATTTCTAGAACTAAATCTGTTTATTAGCTAAACATCAATCTCGTTCACCCTGCATTAGAACTGAACACTCAAGTACCCGGAAATAACTTTCACCACTCCACAACAAAACCATTCAAAGACACAACTCACAGGACGGTGACTTGAGTTTGTCACGTTCACCTCTCTCAGGTTCACGGTCACAGAGTTACTTAAAATAGCCTAGTGGCAAGACAATGAACCAATCAGAATTCGCTTGAGCACTCTGCTGGATTGCTCCAGGGCTCCCATAATTTTGACATAGAATAGTGTACAGTCTTATATTGGCGTTTATTTTTAGACTGCCTACTGTTGGCCAGAGACCGCTGTGGGCTATATTTCGGCACTCTTCGGCAGGAGTACATTTGAGATGTGCCGACTTATTAATATTAATGTACCGCCAAACTCGCTACGAGTGTCGTCATCGCTTGGGTTGTCCCAAAGAGCGTGGGCTTTGTTTTACGGCGCTAGAGACACAGAAATGACAGTTACGGCGCCAGCAAGGACCTTGTTTTGATATAATATTTGACTAGTATTTGGTTCTGGCGTCTTTTATTTTATTATTGTGGGTGCTTTACGTAAAAGAATAATAAAAAAAATTGTGGGCGGCACTGCACGACCGTGTTCTATGGACGAACCGCGCCTGACCCAAGGAGGTTACAGTCGACCCCACACATAGACAATCTGGACTTTGCAAGTTACTTTGGCTGTTGCATACTAAGGAACAGACAAAAGCAAAGACTTCGGGTTTATATTGCCTATCAGAGTCTGTTACTGTTGGATTGAGGATCCACCTCTGAAAGTCAAAGGTCCTTAAGGATAGCTGCACCACGAAAGGAGCCTATTATTAATTAAGTCATAATAGAAGAAAAAAAAGCACTAATAGACGTTGAATCTTTCCGCTATCTTGCGAGTATATAATTTGACAAAGAGGGGAGAACAGGTGCTGAATAAATGAAGTCCCGCATCGGAAAGGCACAGCCTAACAGGCTGCTTTGATTTCAATATATTCATGTCTGTGAATATGATTTAGAGGACCGGCATGCAGTCACTTCGAACATTAAGCTGAGGGTTTTCAATTAAAGTTTGAAGCCAGTCTTCTTGTATGGATGTAAGACATGGAATGCATCTTAGACTTGCGTAAAAAGGATCAAGGTTTTCTGTAACATTTTAATGTCTGAGATAGTTATTAGATCTAGGATCAGATGGACAGACATGGTTACCGCGAGGAAGTGTTATAAAGGAGAATATATAAGACAAGAAGTGTGGAGAAGGCGGGGGCGATGGATTGGACCCCAATAAGTCAGGCAGCTTCTTATAATGGAACGTATTGGATCGAAATCCACATGGCAAAAGATCAAAGAGAAGGCCACGTGGAACCTGGACGATCTTCGAAGAGTCACAGAAACTGATGTACAATTCCAATGCAATGTAAGTGGGAAGACTTAATTGAGAGGCTAGCCCAGGATAGGGAAAGGTGGAAAGCATTTTATCGCGGCCTATACCCCGATGCAGCGTGAGAAAGGCAGTGATCATGTATCAACGATCCTAAGCTGGGGCGAAGGCTGACTTGTTTGACAGGGTAATCAAAGTAAAACGGGACCAGATATGGCCTGGGGATATCACACAAGAACCTTTCTCGAGGCGACGACTCAGAGTTGTGAATGAAAACCAATCCGGAATTCATTATTGTATGTTCAACCGCCAAAATAATCGTGAAAGTATCTTATTAAATACCAATTCCAATTAAAATTAAATTTAACTTTAGAAGTGAATACACAAACACAAAGCAAAGAAGCAGATATATCAGTACTAGATCTACATGTTATAGATCTACCAGGGAGTCTAACTGTTTGGTAGAACATGACAATTATCATTTTTTTTAATTTCTCATTTGGCTATTTTTTGTTTAGCCTTTCGTGGCCACGAGCCTGTGTCATAATCGAGGTCACGATCTGATTATAGGGCAGTAAAAAGTCGAGGAAAAAAAACAGGCAGTCGCAGAAGTGAGAGATTATTAGGAGTTAGTTCCCCTCACATATGTGAGATAGACTTCGACCAGTGTAATAGTTAGCTTACCTAATCAGTGCTTGAGACTGATTATAACTGTGGCCCGAAAGGGGTGAACAGGGTATATGTGGCAATGACTGCTATGCACATGTTCCCTTCATTTCTGTTGGTAGACTCTTCCAGTCTCACTTTAAGCTTACTTAATCAAAGCTTGTGACTGCTTATGGAGTGGCCCAAGAGGGGTGAACAGACTATTGCAGTGGCAATGAAACCGTTTAGAATGCTAGGCATTCATTGGTGATTATGAACGTCTTTTTACATTTAATTTATGAAGTTTACGTTTATGGGTGAATTTGACTGTGACAATGTTTCAAAATTAGGAAGGAAAGCAGTGATTATTTGATTATATAGACGCTTCGCCTCTGATCCTAAGAAAATGCAACAAATTCTTGGCACGGCTCTTGGACATCGATAGTTTGCTTTTTTCTTTAGTCTTCTCTCCCCCCCCCCTCCCGAGAAAACGAAAGCGTGTCACGTGACTGTTTTCGTTCAACGTCCAGGTCATGTGACTTGTAAACCAGAGTGTACCTGAATTTTTACTCATACAGTCGAAGTTTTGCAGGTCATGTGACCATATCATATGACAAAATATTCTTACGGGACTTGGTAGAAACACAGCCCCAGAGTTTTTTTGTTTGTTTTGTTTTGCTTTCACATTTAAGCATAACCTTATCAAGTTAATCGACACTAATTTTAAAGTCACAAAATGCTGTCAACTGTAGATATCTTATTCTAATGAAGTGTACTTGCATATTCTTCGCTAATGCAATCCCCCCCCTCTCTCTTTTTTGTTTTTGCTCCTCCTCTTTCTCTCCATCCCACAAACACACAAACACACAAACACACACACACACACACACACACACACACACACACACACACACACACACACACACACACACACACACACACACACACTGTGACACACACACACACACACCACAACTCTCAGCCCTATTGATCATACATGTGTTTGGTTTCCTTTAGGCCTATATAGGCATTCTGTAGCCTATGTGTAAATAGTGTCATCACCGTCGAAAGCGTAAAAAGTCACATGATTTTTCATTGTTTGCTTCGGCCGGTCAAGATGGCGGTGCCCCGATGCTCGCTTTTCTGCCTTCTTGTTATCTTTTATGTTTCAAGTATCTATGGATATGAGCCAACTTGGGAGTCTTTAGACTCTCGGCCAATACCTGAATGGTATGATGAAGCCAAGCTTGGTATTTTTATTCACTGGGGAGTGTTTTCCGTCCCGAGCTTCGCTTCCGAATGGTTTTGGTGGGACTGGAAAGGACAATCAACGCCAGCAGTGGTTGAATTCATGGCCAAAAACTACCCTCCAGACTTCACCTACGCAGATTTTGCCAAGCAGTTTACAGCTGAATTTTTTAATGCTGTCGAATGGGCGCAGATGTTTCAGAGTTCTGGAGCAAAGTAAGCAGTTATTGGTTACCATATATGCAGAGTGAGGTTCAAGGGAAGGACTTTCATAACAAGCGACCCCCCCAAAAAACAACAACAACAACAACAACAACAAAACACAATAAAGAAGAACGGAGTGTCTACGTACACGGTAACCAGCAACCGGGCACGTAGTCTCTGTGTGTCATGTACACGGTAACCGGGCATGTAGCCTCACTATCTACGTACACGGTAACCGGCAACCGGGCATGTAGTGTCAGTGTCACGTACACGGTAACCGGGCAGTACAGAAATCCAAGTTGAGTTTTTGTCATCCGGTGTTGCCTTCACCCCCCCCCAACTGTACCTTAGAAAAACGAAGTGACTATTTCGCCGAACGGTTTCCGATCTCGAGATTTTTTGGTTATTTGCAAGATTTAGGCGTCATCCTTTCATTCTGCCATTCTGCAAGGACTGGGAAGAAGCATTTTTTTGTGTTGAATTCAGTTTCTAGAGCTAGAGATTTTTAAATGTCTGAATATTCAGATACTTCAGTTGTGGTTGGGGCAACGTTCCCGGACTATTATACTTCGTTTGAAAATACCTTCAAAAGGTACTGCGAGAAAGGCCACCTCTATTCTCACCCGGGGTGAGAACTATTCTCACCCGGTGCGCGTTCACCGTTATAGCCTAGATCTAGGTCAACAAATTTTGCGTTCACCCTAAACCACAGAATTCTACACTGTGATAACAGAAAAATTGGAGAATTCTGTGCCGTGAACAAACGTTCCATACAACTGTAGCCTAGGCTACTAAAAGCGTACAATTTTGTCTGTGGGCAGTGGAGAGAGAAAGAGAGAGAGAGAGGAGTAGCGCGAGAACTTCCACTTCCAGGCAAAACAAAATGGCGACCCGCGTAGTTCGGCTCGATTCGAAAAGTTAAATAGCCGTAGCATCTTTGTAGTCAATAAAATTAGCTCACTTTTGTGCTATAACGTAATTTTTTCTTTGCCTTTAGCCATTTGATCATCCACATCGATAGAAAGTATTCCGAAATTAGGAAAAACAGGTCTTGTTTCAAACCGGGTGAGAATAGCCTACGGTGGCAAGTCTCACCCAGGGTGAGAGGTCGATCGTATTTCACACACACTCACACACACACATTCACACACACCACACACACACACACACACACATTCACACACACACGCACACACACACATGGGCTACTCCAACAAATCTCGAGAACGGAAATCGTTCGGAGAAATAGAGTTCAAGTTTATTTTCCCGAACGTTCGGAGAAATAGAGCCGGCCTAAAAAAAGTCATTAATCCCCCCATTCCGGAGCCGTATATATTTCGCAGCGCACAGACTTTGAATGAACTTTGGTAACCCCAACCGGTACTAACAATGTGATGCACATGTGCAGGTTCACTGAGACTGGTCACGATGGCGAGCCCGACAGGACGCTTGAATGACCATTTGAGGGCTAGGTGCCCGGTTACCGTGTACGTAGACACTCCGAAAAAAGAGACCTAGATTTAACCCTACCCCTACCCCTAGCCCTGTATTCTACTCTGTCTGATAGCGGTCGCTAGGTGCGGAAGTCCTTCCGGTTCAAGACCCTGCTATTCAATTCACTTTCAGAGGCTAATCAAGCTCAAATTTGCTTTGTCCATGTCTCCGATCCATAGATAGAGTGTACAGTACACTTTTGACAATGGCATTGAAAATCTTTGTCTTGGTTTTTAGTTCCTATGTAGTAATCAATTGACCTGACTTCCATACATTTCTTTCTTGTGTAAAAGCACCTCTTGCTTTCCCTATTGGCCACTTTTATTCTCACCCCGGGTAAGAATATCCCATGTCTCACTATTCTCACCGCGGGTGAGAATAACTCATGACTCGCTATTCTTACCACCCCACCCCTCCCCTGGTGAGAATAACTCCCACCCCGGTGTGGGCATGAGGCGAGGACTCCCCCCTGACCTCTCGCAGGCTGATAAAATCACCTAGGCCTTTGGTGGTTTAGATCTACCGCATGTGGTTGGAACGAATAATATTAATTATGTAAAAACATTTTTCGCCTCTCTAGTTTAAAAAAAGACTCACTACCGACGCTACCGAGCAGGATGTGTGGGACCGACTGCCGGCCGGACCATTCGTTGTTTACACACTTAACGATGGCTGGCCTCTCACTCTCTGCCTGCACATAATAAATTATAGTTCAATTCAAGGAACAGGGAGTGTGTACAAACGTAATGAGACACAAGCACGAGACAATAAATGTTCTTGCACTACGGTAGAAGGGTTGTAAATTTTTCAGACCAGATGGGCGAGGGCGTTAAATCGTGTTAACTAGTTTAATAACAAGCAATATAATAAGCTATTTTCTTCATTTTCATTTTTTTTCTTATTCTGTCTTTTTGTTTTTTTCTTGCCTCTTCTTTCCCTTTTTTCTTGAACATTGAGTGTGGAGCCAAAAAAGAGAAAGAGAGCCAAATGAAATTCTACAGGCCAGACACAATCCAAGAGAGCCAAATTTCTGGGATTTGGCTCCAAACTGACAACCCTGACTGTGGCTATTCGGATGCGAACAGTTAGTGACGAATATGATGCTGTGGAGCATCATCTCTGACCCCCCCCCCCCCCCTCCCCGGGTCATGCCCTCTAACTTCAGCCTTGATCCCTATAGGGTCATTTCCCGGCCGGTAAAACAAGGGGGTGAGAATAGCGAGACATGGGTTATTCTCACCCGGGGTGAGAATAACCACTTCCTTCCCTATTCTTGTCTGTACATCTGCATCTCAACTGCTCCTCCATCTCCAACCTTATCTCCAGTAGATCTCAGATGCTATAGAAGTAGTACAGTATAGTGCATAAAAAGCTGCCTTTAAGTCCTGAATATAATATGTGAAGGAATCAAATCTCTCTAGCACTCAGTGTTTCCCTGATGGTAATCTGATCATTGGTGCTGTATCTTGGTGTATTGTGTGAATGTCCTTTTAGTCCTGCCATCTTTGAATAAGATCTGAATTGGGGGTGGGTCTGTAAAATTGTGTCTGCTATACTCATGGGAATATGGTGGGGGGGGGGGTGAGGGGGCTGTTATCATCATCTACAGATCACGGTAATGATAATGAAATTGAAGTGATTGATATCCTTAACAACAATAATAGATCTTGGGTTTTCTTTTACAAAGTGGATGGAAATGAGAGTTCACTATTGAAAATAGCTGGAGAAGAAAAAAAGAGTGCTATATACGATCATATTCCAAAGTGACCTGGAGACGCACAGTAGAGTCTGAAATGAAGTCCTGGAATCATTCGTGGGGAACGCTGACCAAGGTGGCCCAAAACAGACAGAGTTGGAGATCCTTTGTTGCTGCCCTAAACGCCAGATGGCGCAATGGGTAATAAGTAAGTGAGTAATAGGATCATGTTGAACTTATAAATGCATTGTGCATCGTACTTCCTACCTGAACTGTGCTGACTCCTACTGCTCAAGAATATTATGGCACTATAATGTTCAGTCGTAATTTTATTCTCTGAAAATAGTGAAAAGGGGTAGGGGGTCATGCAACTCTTAACATCTCTCTTCCTTGCTTTCCCTTTGCTATTTTCACTTATATCTTTAATCATCCCAGGTCTGACTTATGGTCATCAATGGCATGTTGCTTTTCTTTTCTAACTCAAACTTGTCTTTCTCTGACTCTTAACATATATCAGGTACATAGTGTTTGTGAGCAAGCACCATGAAGGTTTCACAAACTGGCCATCTGCTCACTCTTTCAACTGGAACTCAATGCAGGTTGGACCACACAGGGATATTGTCGGTAAGTAAATGTGTCTTTAATGATTATTATAGGCAGACTCCATTGTACTCACACTTGCAATTAAAAGGTCTGGACAATATGCTGCTGCTTAATTTACAATTTGAAACCCAGTGCAAATACTAAGCAGATAGACCCAACAAAAAAGCAAGGATTTTGTTATAGGAAAAGAAGTACAGCATTGGTAAACCCTGAAATTTTTGCCTCTATATCTGTTGTGTAAGAGGCCCAGATGAGCCCCTCTTTTATTTGTAGCAATTCGGAGACAAGTGTACAAGTGTTTGTTTTATGTAGGGCTACTTTTTACCGTGTCATTTACATCAATACCACCCCACACACACACATATAGACACATACATGTAATCCATTTTATACCTATACCTTCACAATCACCCACCACACACACACGCACACACACACACGCACAATCACACGCACAATCACACACACACACACACACACACACACACACACACACACACACTCACACACACACGCACATGCACAACTAAACTAAACAAAAAACCAAACACCACACTCGTACAGCCCTTGAGAGACACAGTCCCCTCCTACTTCTACTAAAATCATTTGACAGAATGTTAAAGGGATAAAAATATAATAATTACTGGAAGTGCTTTACCTTACTTTACCCAAAGGTTCTTACTGTTAATTTGTACACTCCCAGAAAAGTCGTAATGTGCACTTGCCATGTAAATTTGTAAATATGGAACCTAAGTTATGACAAAGGGAGTGCTTATTTAGGCCACATATGGCCTAAATAAGGTAAGGGAGGGGGGTTTAGCTTATTTAGGCCACACATGCTCAAACTACCCTTTTCAGGCAACTGAGTTCGTTCCACTTTCATAATGGTGCACCTTTCTCATTTAGTACGGTTTTGTCTCAGTGTACAACTTATAAATCATAACCATAATGAATATTGTAAAGAACAAAGCACAATACGCAAAATTTTGCTCAATCCCAATGGTTTGAATGAGGGCCAGATTTTTCCTTCATGGAGGGGCAAAAGCTAGGCTACCATTTTGGCACACTTTGGTCAAGTGAAAAGGTCAAATCCTCCGAATGGACTTCCAGGTTAAATTTGGGGTATAAAAAGTGTGTACACTACGTGGCTGAGTCAAAGTTACACTATCTTTGTCTGAGTGACACGCTCTCTTACTGTCTCGTAGTAGTACATGTAGGCTAGTAGGCCTAGTAGTAGTAGTAGCAAAGATCGTGTAGAGAATATTTGGTAGTAGATTCTATCTATAGGCAGTTTAGTGAACGTGCTCGCAGCAGGGCGAATCGGCCTCGATAAGCCCCGTAGACTTTTGTGATCGGCCACGAAGCCTCGTGTTTTGATGGGTCTAGATCTAGATCTAAACAACTCAGTGTTAATCACACTGCCACATCCGACAGGCCTAGATCTACATCTATTTAAAAGGAAAACAAAGATCATCAAAATGGTTGAATTCGCCTGAAAATCGATTCGGTAGAACTAGAACTATTAAAATTTGCTTCTGAAAACAAGCTATTTTTATACGAAGGCCATTTTTATAACTCGGTGAAATAAAAACTACTGGCTGTGTACTGTGTTATTCTGTATAAAAATAAATTATGAAACTTCAGGACGTATTATTATTTTCCAGCATCTTTTGACGCCTGAGCTGTAGAGGTTGAAGTTTTCACAACACTAATAGATCTAGTAATAGGCCAGGTAATAGGGCTTTCCGTAAAAAATGCATAGATCTACAAAAGCCGAACCACCGAATCGACCGAGCACCTCGCTCTCCCCTGCACACTGTGATAATGTGTTGCTTCGGTATCGCATTATTCAACTATTAATACGTGCGGCTATGGCAATTGGGATTTACTGACTGACAAAAAATTCAGTTTTTTTAAATTTTACCATATATTTGACTTTAATAGTGCAGGCGATGGCAAGATCTAGATTCCCTGTCTAGAATCAGTAGTAGCAGGCCTATGCTAGAAGTAGCCAGAGAGCCTACAAATGCTAGATCTAGATCTAACTTATTATTGCTATGCCTTTGGGCTTTGGAATTGAAATAAAACGAATTGCACAGTTCTAGTTACTTTTAGATTCAGCAAGTAACTGTATTTCCAGAGTTAATAATAACAAATCTCAGCATAACAATCACTTTTACTTTTATTAGAATAATTAGATCCAACTTTTTTTCTAAAATCTGTTTTGCGCAAACTTAAGATTTTCTCTACTTGTAGAGCAGAGAATTTACATTGTAAGCCTCTGCTCAGTCTTTTAGTGTACATATAATAAAATACACACACACACACACACACACATATATAGATATATATATATATATATATATATATATATAGAGAGAGAGAGAGAGAGAGAGAGAGAGATCTATATCATCATTTTATATTGTTTTCGGGATATTTTTAAAACTCTCTTTTTTCAACATGTCATAAAATCAAATTGTGCCATTTTCTTTGAAAAGAATAGCATTAGCAGTGGACTTTTTAGAAAGCGAGTCTCTGATTCAATATTTAAAAAAAAAAAGCTAATCAATGAAAATTGCAAATTGATAATAGTTTAGTCCTGAAGAGGATAGGTGGACTCCTGGGTCTGCAAAGCGAAATACTAGGTTTTAGGATGTAAACCCCCGAGTCACCGTAGTGAAATAAGGTTTGGTTTAAGTAAGGATTGGTGGACCCCGGGGTCAACGTAGTGATAAATAAGCAGGTTTAAGGTGGACCCCGGGGTCTACCTAGCAAAATACTAGGTTTTAGGACAGGTGGACCCCGGGGTCACCGTATTGAAATAAGTATGTTTCTTTAAAGATAGGTGGACCCCGGGGTCAGCGTAGTGAAATAAGTAGGGTTAATTTTAAAAGGATTGGTGGACCCCGGAATCACCATAGCCGTAGAGGAATAAGAAGGTTTAATTAAGGATTGGTGGACCCCCGGGAAACCTAGATTAAACCTACTTATTTTACTACGGTGACCCCGCAGGTTCCACCTATTCTAAAAACCTAACTAGCATTTCGTTAGGTAGACCCTGGGGTCCACCTTAAACCTACCTATTTCACTACGTTGACTCCAGGGTCCACCAATCCTTAAAATTAAACCTAGATCTACATGTACTTATTTCACTACATTGACCCCAGGGTCCACCAATCCTTAATTAAACCTAGATCTACTGATTTCACTACATTGACCCCGGGGTCCACCAATCCTTAATTAAACCTATATCTACTTATAATTTCACTACGTTGACCACGGGCTCCGCCAGTCCTACTATAAAATAAACTGAGATCTACTTATTTCACTATGTTGACCCCGGGGTCCACCGATCCTTAGTTAAACCTAGATCTACTACTTATTTCACTACGCTCACTCCGGGGTTCACATCCTAAATCCTAGCATTTTGTTAGGTAGACCCCGGGGTCCACCTATCCTTTTGGCTAGATAGACCCCGTAGTCCGCCTATCCACTTTCTTGATAATAACTGATAACAATACATGCCAGTTGTCATGAATAGTGAAGAAAAATTATGGGAAAAAAAGACAATGAGGTAGACTATAATTTATCAAAAAAATTGCAAGTGCAAGTGAAGATCATAAAATAATTTTGTTATCTTCTGGTCATCTTTCCCGGTTTATAAAAAAAAATTCAGTGGGCCTACTACTAGATCTGTGTCTCTGAAGAACATTTTGCTTGCCTTTATTAGCTTTTTTCATGTACATGAAAGCATAGAATATATAGTTTCACACAAATATATGCACAATACTTTGAAAAAGAAAGATATGGTCATTGTTTTTTTACGGAATCCGTTTTACGTTGAGAAAAGCGCTAAAAACAAGTTAAAAAATTTTAAGAATGCCCATAATATTAGTATTAGGAATCCGAAATTACTACCTAGTTGGCTTACTCTTTAATAACCATGAGCAGTTAAGAAAAAAAAAGACAATGATATAGGATTTGTCTAAATATGACCATTAGCAATAAAGATTCTGCCCATTTTGTCCAATTATCCTTGCAGGTAAAATCACCCTGCACTGTACCTCAATAAGCACAAAAGGAATATTTCTGTGACTTTGTATAAAGGTGTGGCCTAAATAAGGTAAGGGAGGGGGGTTTAGCTTATTTAGGCCACAGGTGTGGCCTAAATAAGGTAAGGGAGGGGGGTTTAGCTTATTTAGGCCACCTGTGGCCCAAATAAGGTAAAGGAGGGGGGTTTAGCTTATTTAGGCCATATGTGGCCTAAATAAGGTCACCCTATGACAAAATATCAGTTGATACCGTATCAATGACGCTGTACCACGCACATCAAGTCTGAATCAAAATACAGTGCAGTCTAAGTTAACACATATATGCACTGAACAAAGTTAGCACACACTGGTTACCGATCATAATCAAACATTCTCCATTGCATTTTTAGAACATTAAGTAGGGAACTGTGTCACATGCTAACTATAGAACTTAGTCTCTGGCTGGGGTGATGGTGGAAAATGTGGGATGGGTATTGTTTTGGACCCAGACTCAAACTGCTGAGTGCATCTTGCAAGTTACTAGCTCTCTTAAAATTCTCTCTATACTCTATATATAAGACTGGACAATCCTTGTTATAGCCGATCTGTAGTCAGGGCCAGGTCTATATGTAAGATTAGTAGGAAGCAAATAAACCAAACAAAACTATGTGTAGTTCGAAATGCAATCGGATCGGCAATGAAGATTAGACTTAGAGCCACGTTGACATGAAATATGTACTTACAGCCACAAGAGACATTTTTTATAATAAATATTACTGATGAAATAATACATTTGTACTGGTCTACATAGTCTTATCCTTCATTTACTGTAAACCACAGAGAAGCTAAATTGGCAACAATAGGCACCACTTTGCAAACTGTAGGCTCTTGATGAATTTGCTGACGAGGTTAATGTCACCACTAAGGGTGGGGTCTTCTGTTATAAGACCTACACAGTTTCGTGTCGTGACAGAAAGTGGTGACAACAACAAAGTTGTGAGCCAGCTTTGATGAACAGAATGAAAGAACAAGTCTTTATAGTGCAATAACAGAGAAGTGAATCCCTATTGTTATTTTGAGGGCCCTTAAATGGTAAAAGTTTTTACATTGATGGATATTAGTTTGGATTGACTGAAAATTGATTGAACTGAATTAATTTCTTGTCCATTGTCCAGCCAACAAAAAGTGACAGGCTTTACTGGTCTTGCCCAGTTAACGAGCCACCCGTATTTACTAGTAAGGATGATAGTTTGGTTTCTGAACTGGACTGGCTTTTTGTATGTTTTGTTACAGTAAATTAAATCACTCTTTTCCTCAGGTGAATTGATGAATGCGACTCGGAGCAATACTGACCTCAAATTTGGTCTTTATCATTCACTGTTTGAGTGGTTCAACCCTTTGTATCTCCAAGATAAGAAGGCCAACTTCACAACTCAGAACTTTGTGAAGGTGGGCACAAATGACAGTGGATTCTCTTTTTCTTTTTTTTTTTAAAATTGTTTTTGGTGTTTTGTGGCTCTCGCAACTACATAGCGTCATATATGATTGAATGCGCAGGACACTTTAAACATTTTAAGTTTGGTAGGAATTAATTTTGAATTTTGCTCAGGTGGAGGCAGAAGCCTACTCTTATTGATTTTAGACCACCAAGGGATCTTTAACATGTGCAACTTGCACACATGAACTCCGAGAGGAGTCTCTTTCCTGATACCATCTCTGAGAAAAAAAGAGTAAAAAATGGCATATATGTGAACTTAAACTTTGGCATGGATTTAAAATGTTTCTTTGCATTCATTATGGAAATTATTTGATGTAGTCTATTTCTACTTCTTTTCAGCTTGCTGTTGTCCTTTTCTTCTCTGATGCCATGAGGCTATTACTATTATCACTCCCACTTGCTGTGGTATCGGTAGCCTAGCAGTACCGCACTTAAAAACTTCTTGAATTTTCTTCTTTGTTCCACTTTAAGATGAATGCTCCGTTAGCTCAGTTAGTATTATGCTGGACTCTTTAGTAGATGACCCAGGTTCGAATCTCTGACAGGGTTTTTTTTAACTTGGGTCATTTTGTGGAGTTTTCAAGGCGGTCAACCCATTTGGCTTTGTCCAGTCAAAGATGTATGTTAAATTCGGAGGTCTTGTCTCTTATATAGTGCCCTAATAGTGTTGACAGGGGTGTTAAACCCATATTCTTTCTTTCCTGTCAAACATCTATAGTCTTTGTCTCCCCTCCTTCTTTTTTGTGTTTGTTACTCCCTTGTAACACCTCTAATCTTCGGCACTTGTTTGACCTTAATGACCTTATTGTGTTGCAAGTGCTGTAAAACTCTTACTAAAACAAACAAACCCATACTCTTACTCTTTATAGTTTAAGACCATGCCGGAGCTGTACGAGCTTGTGAACAACTACGAGCCAGAGATTGTGTGGTCTGATGGCGCTCACGGACCAGTGGACTATTGGCAGTCCAGGGAGTTTCTGGCTTGGCTCTACACGAACAGGTTGGCTATCTGTTAGATAGAATTGTCATATTTTGATTAAATCTGATTTATTCTGAGACGCCAAGAGCCACAAGTGGTCTTTATATTATTATTATTATTATTATTATTATTATTATTATTATTATTATTATTATTATTATTATTATTATTATTATTATTATTATTTTTATTATTATTATTATTATTATTTATCTTCACAACAACCTTGTAAACTCAAGGCCTTGATTAATAAAGAGAAGTAAAGTTCTTTGGGAGAAAAAGAAAAACCCTAGTAGGCCTACTATCTGTCTGGATTGGAAAATTATTAGTCAAATATACAGGCCTGTGTATTTTTAATAATTCAAAAGTTGCATTAACATCATATAATATGCAAATCATGTCAATATTAAGAACATTTCAAAACAAGAGTGTGTATGTGTGTGAATGTATGTACATATTTGTACAAAGGAGTGATTTTACTTTTTTTTTTAAAGTAAGTTAATCAGGTATTTGTGACATTTGTATAGTATCTGGGCCCAGATGATGGGGAGTGGGACCTGTGCAGATGGGTTTTTTTCTTCTCTTCTTCCCTCTCCTCTTCTTTGTTCCAGCATCTGTTGAGTTATGGCAAAACTCCTGGTCAAATAAGCTAAAACCATGCATTTGATTCAAACTTCTCGAAAGTATTTATCTTATTATCCCCAGTTCCTAGGCTGGCACTCACAGTCTGAGTGAAAGCAATCCACCTCTTTTCAAGGGTCTGTGTTGTGGCGATAAAAGAATTAAAATTATCTGTCACTATTAGTCTGTATCATCATTTGTTCTCTGTGACAGGTTTTATCATTTGGAATGAAATGGAGCTAATTCGTAGCTATAAACTGACTGAGTGTAGAATGCCTTCTATAACTAAAATGTAACCTGTATTTTCAGCACTGTGAAAGATACTGTTGTGACAAATGACCGTTGGGCCACTGGCACTCTGTGCCATCATGGCGGTTTTTACACCTGCTCTGACAGGTACAATCCAGGTGAGTTAAATGATATATGTTTGGCATAATATATGCTGTTTTCTTTTCTCTGATTTCTTTTATGGTCAAAGCTGTGTTCACATAAAAACTAGAACCTTTCCAAGCATTTTTATGTAACATTAATGTCAATTTCTTGTACTCATTCATGTATTTGCAGGTGCTTACAAAATCAGGCACTGATAACTCAAACTAAAACATGTCGAGGGATTGACAAATGCGTTCAACACATCTATCATTTTGGTTGACCGATAGGGGAAAATTAAAGAGATCCAGTCAAGAAATGGCAAATTCTACGAGTTATCCGTGATTTCAAGTTTTTTTTAGTGTTTATGTTATCTGTACTTGACTATTGCACACTCAAACACAATGCATTCACAAGCGCCCACAAGCACACATGCAAATCCTTAAGAATCTAGCAGCCTTTTGCAGCGTGAATAAAGATTTAAACTCATATATTGTACTATTTTCAGGCTTCTTGCAGAAGCACAAATGGGAAAATGCTATGACGATTGACAGAAAGTCTTGGGGATTCCGCCGAACAGCCCGTTTGTCTGACTACCTGACAATGGAGGAAATTCTTCAAACATTTGTGGAAACTGTTAGGTAAGTGTGAGAATCAGATCCTGAAGGGCACTTTTCCAAATGTAGGTCATGAAAGTTGACCGAGACAGGTAGCCCTCTTGTATAGTGACAATATAATGTAAAAAAAAAGTACAAAGGAGGAAATGGGAGGTGGCAGTTTGTTCAAGTGTTTGTTTGTCTTCTTATACTCCAGGTGTTTGATAGAGCAGGTTCAACTGTATTTCTTTGAAGAAAGTTATGTGTCGTCCAGTGGATGGTGTGGCTAGTGTGATGCAGGTCATAAAGTTGATAGCTTTTGGACCGGTGGTCACTGCAATCAAGAAATCATGACAAGAGCTCACAGCAGGGCTTGGACGACCAGTTATGGTGTTGGCTCATTGCTGTTATTTTTTACGCTTACAGTACTCCTTCGTTAACTCCCATATTAAAAGAAGAAATAATTAATGTGCGAACTTTTTAGTTATGTGTTTCTTTAACAAAACTTTGTTTTAAATGTTGGTCGGAAATTGTCAAAATATCGGTGAATTTCACCAAGGTGCATATCACATTTATTGTTCTGATGGAAGTACGTACATGTTAGCGAGTTGTTTTTTTGTGTGTACATTGTTTCATTATTTAATCTTGACTGTAAATGGCTTCACTTCTTCCTCTCAGTTGTGGTGGTAATATGCTGATGAACGTCGGGCCCCCTCACCATGGACACATCACACCTGTTTACGAAGAGAGGCTGCGCAATATGGGCAAGTGGCTCAAGGTCAATGGAGAAGGCATCTACAAGTCCAAGCCGTGGACATATCAGAATGACACTCTTACTAAAGGCGTATGGTGAGTAGTAACGTTATGATGCCACTTTATGACATGTTTTTTTAACACATGGTGCCCTTACTGTCATAGTTACTGCAAAGCTCATAGGTTTAATTTTTAAAAACAGATATTTGTGTGTGTGTATTGTGTGTTTTTGTATGTGTATGTGGGTGTGTGCACAAATGCACATCGAACTGGTGTTAATGTAAATTCAAATTTCAAATTCCTGTCAGATCAGAGGCCAGACGTACAGTTTTTTTAACCCACTGTCTATCCGTCCTTAGGCCGCCTCAGGCTCGTCTAGTATACTTGAACATGAGACTTCACAGAATAAAAGCCTCATGGGTGTCCACCATCCTTGAGGTCCTCGGGCTACCTGGCGATGCCAGATATTTTGCCAGAGGGCCAAGGTGGCATGAGAGATCGATTATCAAGCAAGCCAATGAGTTGATGTCATTGTTATGTGTAGTGTGTACCTCTCGTGGCCAGTTCACTGGCAGTAAGGCGGGATGCATATTGACATTAAATAAATATGGATCAATCTCCTCAGACAGTTGGCGGATGGCAGTGTAAAGGCGCGAATACTATGCTTACATTGTGATTTCTTTTTTGTATGTAAGCAAAACCCGGTGGTCAGCGGAGTGAGGTTTGACTGTTTCTGAGAATAATCAATCACTGCGACTCTAGCTATCAGAGCTGTTTCCATTTTACTTTTCTATTCAACATTCACAATTTTTCTGCCATTCAGTTATTCACAGCCTGACAGAGCCATTTGAATGCCGTATAATTTTTGTGAACAATGGATTTTTGTTTAATTTTTCTCAATGCATTATAAAAATCACAGCATATTATAACCTCTAAAATCATTGAGGTAAATGCACAAATACAATATTAAGTGGAACCAACATGAGCTATAAAACATGCCTCTAAGAAGTATTCACTGCTTTTCAATATTCACCAGTCACACAATGAACGATGAAAAGTCAAGTCATAATATGGACATTGTGGGCACAGCTTTATTGGCTACGGGGCTTGATTATTTTCAATAATCTGCATTTAAGGCAACAGGCATGTTTGGACAAGATTTTACAACTTTCTCTCAAGGGCCCAGGACTCTGTACAAAGCCTTGTGAAAAATTACCAGTATGCAATTAGCGCCCCTTCCCCTATTCTGAATTAGAAGCATTGCAAATGGTGATGTGAGATCATTGTATTGCACTGAGTGCTTGCCATGGAATAATTGTAGCTCAAACAGTGACTTTAACTTCGAAGTGTCAAAGTTCTGTTCGTTTCCTCAAAATTAAATCGCGCAGCACTAGTTTTAACAGCTTAATTAAGAATGTAAGCTAGAAATAGTACGGACAAAGTGCAAGGTGTAGACACGCTTGACTTGTCTTCTTTCATACTTTTTAACTTGTTTACAAGCCTGGACTTTGTTTTATTCATGACTCAGTTAACAGGGTCAGTTATCTATATGACAATAATATATGATTACGGAGGTCCGATCTTTGCATCATTTTTTAGGAGAAACAACTCACTTTTCAGATCTCGAAATAAAATTTTAATGAAGGTAACGTTCAACATTCCTGAGAGCATGACTGAGCTGAATTTTCATGATGTTGAACTTAAGAAATTGTACTTTTCAATCGCTATACATCAATTTCCACTTTTTAAACTTGTGTTCAGTATCATGCCTGACCTGCTGCTGAAGCTTTGCATTATTAAACAAGACCCTTTTTAGCAAGACAATTTATAACAAGACGCTTTTTTAAAGAAATTAACTCTACATACCCAATGTATATGTAAAATGTTAAGATTAAGACTTTCTATCAGGGGCGTAAATTTTCTGTAAATTTACGGAAATCCATAATTTTGACTTGCTCCGTCATTTTCCGTATGTGGGACCTGACCTACTTTCAATGGTGAGTCATTCTACTATGTGTACTAATCTACATTTGAATAAGTGTATTTTTCCAAATCTGTATAGCCCGCGAAAAGTTCAGTAAATTTGGGACTGATCAGTTCCCATCGCTGTTATATATAT